ATTTATGAGAAAAGAAAATTAAAATGTTTTAATATTAAAAATATTAAGGTATTTAATAATAATTATATGATAAATTTAATAAAATTAAAATTTATATTATATTTTATATATTTAATAATTATATATCTTAATATTTTTAATAGTAAGATATCTTAATTTTTTTTTCTTTTTATTTATTATTAGGGTAAATTCCTTAATAATATTATTTCACTAAACTTTAAATCAAAAATCATTTTGGGAAGGGATTTAACTACCACAAAATTTTGAAATTCCTATAATCGTCAACAACATTTTTTTATTTGAGACACTCGTACCCTAAACTTTGATTTTAAACCATCCATCGCATTTCATGTGTCGTCCCCCAATGATCATTTGTTGCTCTAAAAAATAAATCATGATTTGTACTTTTAAGTTTTGGTTTAATACCTTTTACTAACATCTCTAACATATTAATTTTTAATATATTAATCTCTAACTATTGCCTTTATCTAAAAAATAAAAAAATAAAAAAACCATCCATCGTTCCCAACATTTTTTTTATGACCCGACTAATTGAGGAGACTCGAAGAGCCTGTATTTTTGTATATAGTTCACATTCATCCTTACCATTTAAGTCAATTTCAAAACATCTCCGATTACTCATTGTTAACTTTGATGTAACATCAAGTTGGATCTAATTAATTGTCACCTATTAACGATTTAAATAATTTAATAATAATTTTTTAGTAAAAATAATTTTTTTTAATTTAAATCACATAATATGAAGATAGAATAAGTTTAAGGGATAAGAAAATATTACTTCTAATTGTGTAACATAAAAAAAAAATAATTTCCAACTAACTTTCTGTTAAACTTATTGTCTAGACGATCAATAGGAATATTTTCAAAAGGTTAGGGATGGTTGATGGAATGAAATCCAGGTTAAGGACAAAAGTGTTTTATGTCAGAAGAGTTGGGGACTATTAAATGAATTTATCCTCATTATTATATTTATTATTTTATAAATAAAGTTTATCTGTAATTTTTTACTAATAGATAAGTAATTTACCAACTGTTCTAGTTATTCTCAATTAGTTTTAGATTATACATAAATTTTGTGTTGAAGTTTACATAATTAATTTTTACAAAATATCAAAGCAGGTTAATTAAGGCTTGGCACCTTTCTTCAAGCCCCTCTTCTTCTTCCTCTTTACATCTAGGCCTCGTCTTATCTGTATGGCGGCATGTGAAGCTCTGCTCTAACAAGATCTAGTGGGCTTATGTGCCTTTGAGGGCATATGAAGTTCATGTGTCAAGCCTTCCCAGTTATGGTGGGGAATCCCACATTAAAAAATAAGAGAAGAAATATATACTTAAATATGATATAGATTCCTTTATTTATTACTAATTAATTTAAGGATGCATCTCATGCTGTGATGGCTAGTCCCAAATGTGAAAACAATTTTCTTGCATCCTAGAACAAAATATAAATAGCCTTCATCTTCCTCGTCTAGAACATGAAAATTCATCAAATAAAGATGCTTTTGTCATCTTTAAATTTGATTTTTCTAATTTACCAATTAACTATGTGCCACTCAGAAGAAAAATGCACTCATTATGTATATTTATCTTTTTTCAGAATGTGAAAGTCTGCTGTATTTGTTTTTGATTGCACGAATTTCATTTTTTAGATATCTCTCAAACTTTTATCTCAAATATTCAAGAATTTTTATCCACTTAATTTCAAATCAAAATATTCTACTTTTTTAAAATTAAATATTCTATTATATTCTTCACATCACTTATCAAAATATTTAACTTATAGGCACCTAATGTGTACATGAAAATTTCTTGTAATAACTTTTTTTTTTCTCTTTTCTTCTTCTTCTTCTTTTTGTCAAGTTTCCTGAAACTTCCTAAATTATCTTATATAATGAGCTTCCACTAATGACTCCCAAACCAATTCATTTTAGGGCACCAGGTGAAAAAAATTGTTTTTAACCGTCCATGGTTTCATAATCTAAAAGTGACAAGAAATGATCGTTTCAAGTTTTTTTTTTATTATTATTTTTTTTTAATGGTCATTTCAGTTAGTGTGTTATTTTTTGGTGTCAATAGTTTAGTTTCCTGTTCAACATTTTGAGCATACATGATTTCTACAACCATTACCACCTCTAGCCAAAATGAAAAACGAAAAACTCAACACAACAGAGAGCATCAAGCCCACAATTAATACGAGATATCACTTGTCAACACGTTTTAGCGTTCTTATCTTTAATCTTCATATACATCTGCATAAAGAAAGCAACTGCAGGGCCAGCAATAAAGAATGCAGAGAGAAACAATGGTGCCACCTCAGGACCAAATGTCAACCTCCTACCACAGAGAATCTCTATTACAGCCAAGAGGACAAATAGATAGCATTAGAGGTTATTACAATGGAACCCACAAGCCGATTAGAAAACATGAGCAAAAACCAATTACTTAAATGTTTTAAAATGAGAAAATAGATCTGTGAAATTATAAAAGATATGGGATTTGAACCCTCAATAACCACAGCTGCCCTGGATCTAAGCTGATGGTGAATAATGAGATGATTAATCAGCCACAGTTGCCACTCATTACTATCGATAATGAACAAATAACTTGAAGAAAACTAAAGAAAAGATAGTTTTAAGAATACTGAATTGTATTCGTTGTGTTATTTCCTTACAAGACATCAGTGTGTGTATATATATACATATACAAGTGTAAATTCAGATTCTGAACATATGCCTAAACTTATGTACAGGAGCGTTGCCTTTTAATGTTGCTCAATCTGCTGCTTTATAATCAATAGTTTTCATTTTTCTGATATTCTTCATCGTTGCTCAATCTCTTTATTGTGTGATCAATAGTTTTCTTCTTTTGATATCTTGTTTCCTTACTAAAAACATGGTCTACTTGCTATGTGATAGTCAAAACCAGTGACTATAAAAGAAAAGAAAAAGACATTGGGCATGTATTTTACTGAAAGCATGACAAATATAATTAGTCTGCCATTGGTGGACTCCAACCAAAAGTCCCAAAGTAAGCAGAGTAAGATATGTGACACTGCAATAGTGCCAAGAAAAATAAAACA